CGTGCTCCGTCCCGGCTTTGTAGGGATGCGAGGTCAATGGTCTAACGACTACGGCATGCACGACTATGAGTACACCCCGCCCCCCCCATGCCGCCACCTCACGGGGTCCTAGTTCATGGCAGATAATAGTGTATTGTGTTTTCAACCGCACTAGACTGACGTATTTTCATTGGTCAGCCGGACAGCGCGGTCGATGCTAATAAAAAAGACGCACACACACATGTTCCATGTGCTCGCCCGACATTTGCAGCGTCCTGCGCACTGAGACCCCTACGTCACGTTCGCGAGAATATGTCCCACCAATATTCCCTTATCATGACAATATTTCTCGAAAGATTGGATCAGTGAGAGAGCTGAAGAACTTGCAGAGTCTGTCCCTCCCACTCCCTAAAAGGTCCAGAAGGTAGCAAGGAATAAAGTTTCATTCCCGGCGCATCCCCCACCCTACTGAATTCTGTATGCACCATTCCTTACATATATCGCGTAGGTTGCGGCTAGAATGTTGATCTTAATCGCGCACTGGGAGTCGAAAGATTGAGCCTGCCTATGAATAGAACAACAGACATTGGGTACGAGACCAAACACTCACATTGCGGGTGACTGGAGCGTGCCGAGGTACGACTTTGCCAAAATCGTTCGCAACATCATGACACGGAATTTCTGAATTACCGAGTGTTTGTTTTCGGTCAGGAGGGGTGCTCATCCAACTTGTGCTGGACTGGTTTGACGGGGAGATTGCACAGCGCTCGTCGTGGACCGCACTGAGTGTTGCGGGTTTTCGGTTGTTTGTGTACGGGCAGTTGACACATAAAGGTTTGAAAGGGCCGAGATTGGATCCTCTCGTGCGGAACAGTACGTACTTTTACTTGGAGGCAGACGAAAGCAATCGCAAGAAGTACATGGGACCAACGCGGTTTGCTCCTTCTATTTCAAGTTGATAAGAGCTGGCGCGCGCTCTGGCCTTCGGGAAAGGCTTTACCTGCGAGCATGTCCATGTGGGCGGAATGGACAACGTGCCTACACCAACAAAATTGTACAGGCACTTCTGTTACGACGACCTCGTTTATGTTTAGTAGTGGTCGGGGTAGGAGTGCGGGGTGGCCCGGCTGCCCTAAGGCGAAAACTCTACCAAATGCAGCCGAGGGCGAAAGTGCACAAGGACAGCAGACTCTAGACTATGCAACTCGTACATCAGCGTTGTGCAGGGCACAAACATCCCGGGAAGCGTAGCCCTCCTCGGCATTTTGAGTATTTCAAGATCTCCACGCTTCGGCCCTGGGGCCATCGTGTTCCTCAAGACTCGGTAGTTACAAGTGTGTTCACACCCGCAGCCGTAGCCGTTGTCCGTCGATACGCGGGAGACCCGCGGCACCGTCAAGCTGTAAAGTGAGTGCCGCAACGATCCCGTGATGTCAGGAGTGCAAAGGTGTGTGGCTCTACGCCATGGTTAGCGAAGCACGATGCTACATGTTCGACAAAACTCAAAATGGCGAAGTCGGGTACACGACTTCCGACCACGCTTGCTTGAGATGCTTTGCGACTACTGTAACGAAAACCTCTCTGGCTGGGTGTAAGCCATCACACTCAATCGAGGGTCGGGACAGAGCAGTTTCCGTTTGCATATGCCCACAAGCAACTGCCGCGCGAATACATGAAAGAAATACTGCGCCCGCACGATCCGCCATAGCTTCTCAGCGGCCAATATTCGTCATGGGGTGGAACCGAAACAGGAAACAGGTCTGTTTTGGGCGGCGTGCTGCTTGCGGGGTAATGCCTGTCTGTCGCGAGCGCAAAAAAGGAAAACTGAAGGAGAACGTTTCAAATGTACTTGTATGAGAATAAGGCGTGTTGCTCCTTGTCCCACCTCCCACCCCCCAGCTATTATCCAACCGAGGGGCCTCTGCTGTTGGTGGCCGAGCTTTGGTGCCCACACGCTTGAGCTTTCGGGGGCTGGAGCTTTGGTGAGCACTATGGGAAAGACAAAAGTGTACACCAGGAAGTTGATCATTGGTAAAGGGGTACCTTGTGGTGGAGCGCAATCTCAGGGAACGAGACAAATTAGGTCTGAGGCCCGTATTGGTGCCAGCCATTCCTTGATCGTACATAAGAGGACGCCTGAGCTCTGTGCACCACTGCTGCTGTTGCGTGTAGCGATAGACCTGCGGATTGTCAGTCGGGAAAATCTACTTCGGCAACGTTGAGGCTGTGATTGATTCAAGCACTAACTTCGAATAACCCCTCTTTGGTTTCTGTCAACGAGTTGTTGGCGTCTTTGCCTCCAAATTCACTTTGTGAAGTCTCTCTCTTTCTTTTGTGTCTTTGGCTACCTGTCTGCCTGTGTGTACGTAGGTCACCATGTTCACGGGAGCGACTAAGATTGTTAAGCCTGAGGGCCAGGAGGCGGATGAGTTCGAGCAGCAGGTAGCACAGGAGCTATTCAACCTCGAGGTAAGGGAAGGATGAGGTTTACGCCTTTGGTTGTGGTACATATGCAGTCCTGACTACGTTTTGGGTGTGGAACGTCTACCCCAGGGTTTGGTTGATCACGGTGGCTGGCTGCGTACTGAGCGTCCGGCTCTGCCAATGCCCCACCCACCGCTCCAGTTTTTACGCACGTGAACGTGACCACACTCAAACTTGCGAAGACTTGTGCCGTGTTTGGCAAAAGCAAATTTCCTTAAATAGTGCGTATACGATGGGTTTGATCGTCTTATCATGAGAGAGCTCTCCCGCCCAGCGATCCAACAGCGACGAGCTTGTGGTCCTTGTTCCAACCAAGCCTTAAGGCTTGGTTGGACTAACGAACTCCCAGGAGTGGCCACAAGTGTCGGATCGCTAACCACATACATGTCAACAAGGTTAGCGGCTACGTACAAGATGAAGTTCGCCTAATAGCCGTTTTTCTCTTGAACTGGATGGAACATGTCGGGTAGGGTTTGGTACAGATGTCCCAAGCCATCTCTCCATATTTATCCCGCACTCCCTCTTGGCAGCTCATCTTCCGACGTAGCCGCTACACTGCTGTGCCGTTGAAAGGAGAGTG